CCTGACCAAGGAGCGTCGTTGAGATCAAAATCAACAGCACGGAATTTCGTGAACCATCATTGTCACTGGCGTTTTTGTAGAGCATTGTCACTGTAAACTTTATGCAACTTTTCATAAGTTTGACATGTGTTCTTTCCTTTATGGAAGTAAAACAGTAAAATATGGCAAAATGCACAGTTTGGTCTTCCATCTTCAACTTGTAAAATCTCCAAAACTCAACCAAATCACTCAGTTTTCTTTAGAATGAAGCTAGAATTGTCAGCTGTCAAATGACATAGCAATAACATAGATGCGAATGACTCTAGTACTTCCAAAAATGAACTAGTGCTATTTGTTGCAAGCATGCGCCATGACTTCTCCGACAACCCAATATATGGAAAGTAAAGACCAAGTTGATTAGTATGCACAGTATAATCACATTTTTGTAAATGAAAGAAAAGATATGTGTGTATGTGAATATGTACATACAGGAACAGAGGGACAAGGAGAGAGATCTAGAAAGATCCAGAATGACATACACTCATTTAAGTAACAGTAGTGATCTATATAGATCAGCCTTTCTCATCCAGGTTCCTCATCTGAACTACAAAGCACAGAAAATGTTTTGAGTGACTATTTTGTCAGTTCTTCCACGTATGGTAGATAACCAGTGGTTTTCTAGAAGCACAGGAGAGAAGTCAATTTATTACATACAATGGATACCCTAGGTCATTGGGGTATTATTTTATCTCAGAACCAAGAGAAAGGCTTTTCTAGATGATGCTTTTTACTTTTCTTATATATCTATGTCATTTAAAAAAAATTATATGGTGAACATATTACATTTGTTCTAAGGAGGGAAAAACCTATTAAAACAGTGTAAGTTAACTATTGGGTTGTCGGAAAAGTCATGACGTATTTTTTCTATGTTTTTCATTGCAAAAATGCGTCATGACTTTTCCAACAACCCAATAAATGCTCTTTAACAAGTAATTAGATTTTTTTTAGCATTAAAGTAAATTCAAACTTTCCTACCAATATTTCTTAGTTTTTTGCTAAATATTCATTTTATTTGTCCTCATAATTGTGATCTGTAGCATCTTGAGTAATCTCTCTATAGTAGAGTAGATGTATAGGGAAGAACAAAATAATACGGGAGTGCACCTCTGAAATCATTGACAATGGCTTGAGGCTTCTACAGTAATGTCATTGTGTGTTTAAAATTACTTTTGATGAAGGCAGGAGAGGGTACTCATTTACTAAAGACCTCTTAAATGTAAGGTGCTTTATGTATGATACCCAATTTTATCCTCAAAACAAACCTGTGTTGTTACTAGTCCCATTTTAGGTGATGTGGTTATTCCATTTTATAGATAAATTAAAATTCAGAGAAGTAGCAAATTTCCCAGAGTCACACAGCAAGTAAAGGTTGATGTTTCCCTAAGAGAGCCCTGTCTAGGACTAGATACACAATTCCCCAGAAACTGGATTTTGAGTATGAGCCTCCTTCTCTCTCACCTTCTCCAAAGTGAAAGTAATCTGCAGGAAGCCCTCACTGCGCATAGCTACAGGCTTTGCACAAGGTTTGTGAAGAGTTAGAGCCAACTCCAAAGTTAGAGGGCACAGTTGTGGAGACTTCCCTCACTTCTGACACCAACTGCAAGTTGGAGGGAGTGCCCCCAAAGCACCCTCAAGTTCGATAATTTTCTAGAAGAACTCACGGAACTCAGTAAACACTATTATACTCACAATATGATTTATTATAGAGAAAGGATACAGATTGAGATCAGCCAAACAAGAAGCATGTCAGGCAGGGTCCAGGAGAGGCACAAAATGCAAAGCTTTCCTCTCCATGGAGTCAGGGTGCATATTCTTCCGGCACTGATGTGTGTCAATACACATAGAGTATTTCCAACCAAGGAAGCTCTCCCAAGCCTTGAGTTCACAGAGTTTTTATTTGGGCTTTATTTATTACGTAGACACGGTTGATTGATTGCCCCACGTGGTTGATCTCAGTCCCCAGGTGTGACCCAAAGCCCCACCCTAAGTCACATTGTTGCTCTCTGGCTAGCGTGAGGTGCCCTGGCAAAATTACCTCCTAGGAGATGAGGGCAAAAAACAGACCTCTTGGGGAAGAATTAAATTCTTTTCACCTGGTCCCAACCTGGTTGAGTTGGCCTCCCCCTTCCTGGCCATACTTGTTGTCTTCTACATGGTGGGTTAGGAGGTGCCTGGTCTCAGGAGCTTTTATGCTCTTTGGACCTTGGCAGTAAGGCCGAGACACTGGTGGAATATGGGTGATTTCCAAGAGAGTAAATGTACATTCTCTTGTTAATCCCTGAACTGATTTAGTATAGCATTCGTCATCAATGGAATCATTAAATGATTTGAGTCAAAATTTTTCTAGTATTAAAAGTATATAATTGGGCTGGCCAAGTGGCGCATTGGTTAGGAGTTGGCTTGGGAGGCCAGCTCTGAGCAGCAGGGCCCCGGTTCGGATCCCACATGAGGGCCAGTGACGCAGTGCCCTCTACAGCTAAGATGGTGAACAACAGCTTGACCTGGAGCTGGGCTGCCATGAGCCGCTGTGAGTGGCTTTCCAATGGCCGGCAAGCAATTGCCTCATCTGGGAAGAGCACAATGATAATGCCAACATGGGCCAGTGAAGCGACGTCCTCCACAACTAGACTGAAGAACAAAAGGACAGCAACTTGTTTGTTCCTCTTCCCTGATTCGCCAATGCTGTTCCCTTCCCCAATTCCCCAATAAAATCTTTTAAAATATATATATAATTGAGTTAATTATTATTTACTTACTAAGATAAACCTCGATATAATTAACCCCCCCAAACCCCCCCCCCCCAGGAAAGTAAATATGTACAGAGGGTGCCAAAAATAATGTATACACATTTTAAGAAAGGAAAAAACTGTATTAAAATTGTAATACTCAATATATACTGATAAAACATGAATACAAGTCATATGTATACATTTTTTGGCATCCCTAGTATGTATATACATCGTTGCATTAAGGTCATATTTCATCCTAACTTTATATCATTACTAAGCAAGTTCACCTGAGTTGGCAGTTTTCCTAAATAATTGCTCATTCATGTACAGTTAGTCCTCATTATTTACAGTTCTGTATTTGCATGTTTGCTTACTTGCTAGCATTTATTTGTAACCCTAAAATAAATACCTGTGACATTTTCATGGTTATTTGCCAATGATCACAGAGAGCCAAAATATTTGAGTTCCATCACCTGCATATTCCCAGCTGAGGTCAAACAAGGTGACTCTGCTTTCGTTTCAGCTCTCATACTGTAAACAGGTGTCCTCTTCATAGTCCATTTAGGCCACATTTTTTTTTTTTGCATTTATGTGATTTTCTTTTGGTGATTTTGTTGTTTAAAATTCTCCCCAAACATAGTGCCAATGTGCCATCTGGTGTTCTAAGCGCAAGGCTGTGATGTATGTTACGGAGAAAATACATACGTTAGATAAGCTTCATTGAGTCATGAGTTATAGTGCTGCTGTCTGTGAGTTCAATGTTAATGAATCAACAGTATATACTAAATAAGATACCTTTAAACAGAAACACACATAAAATAAAGTTATGTATTGATGGGTTAATGAAAATGTTGTGGCCAGAGGCACACAGGAACCTAACCTTATGTTTCCCCTAGGAGCAGTGTGGTTCAGCATTCAGTAGTTCACTGTTGACTTTATAGAATGTAACTACCATGAATAATGAGAGTCATTACTTCATTCAGTATTCATTTACCCGTGTAATCTTTTGTTTATCATTTAAGAAAACATAATGGAACACTTCTGCTGGGTGCCAAGCAATTTCTACATGACTGACTTACACTTTCCCTTTTGTGTTCTTATGCCCCTTAGTAATAGCCTTGCTGTAGCCCTCTATTTGTGTGGTTTATGATAACACCTCATAAATGAAATGTAAGATTGAATTTAAAGGTTGGGAATTGGGGGCTGAATATTTTGAGTCTATGACTATTTTTACATTTAACTACATGTGCTAGATTCAGCCTTCTCAGTAAGCTTTCCAGGAATTGTCTTGCCTCCTTGGAGACCCAGATTTTTAGCATCAAATTCCTTAATGGGTTCATGTTGGATGCAAGCAGAGCCAGGTGATGTGGCTTGTCACACCTCCTACACCAAAATGCTGTGTCTGCTGGCTTGGCTACATGGTCTTGGAGGCAGAGCTTATGCCTGGCCAAATTACTCCTCAGCCATGCTTTGCTGATGAGAAGCCAGACCAAAGTGGCCTCTCTTCTTCCTGTTTTTCGCCCATCTCTCTCATGTGTTTGTATGTCCTTGTCTTTCCACTGCCTGTTCACACTGTCTCCTACACCTGCACTCAAGCAGAGGGTGGGAGAATGGACTTGAAGAACAGGTGTTCACCACATGTTCTTTGTGGCTCCTTGGATACACTCTTCCATTGAAGTGTTTCTCATTTCCTGATTTTGATTGTCCAGGATGTATGAGGACTAAGAGCTGTACCTTGCTGTCCTTCTCTCCTGATGTTAATAAAACCAGTTACAGTGGAATCCCCCAAATGTAATGGGGGAAATATAGAAATACCTTTCTGAAAATTAAAATTATTATCTGGTCAATTTGACTGAAAAAGAAAAATTCCAATGACTTCAAGGATCTTTCAATGAAATAATCATAGAATTAAGCCCAAAGAAACAAAGACACTGTTAGCCATTATTACATAATTAATTGTAAGAAATGAGTGCCAGCAGTAGAAATGAACCTTGATATTTTTATGTGATAAGTAGTTGAATAAATACAGTAACCTTATTTGAACATCTTTGAAACTGTACTTCAAAAAAGTGAGAAGTAAGACTAAAAAAACCTTTGAATGCCCTTTAGAGCCTAGCACAATGCTGAGGACAAACAGACCTCAACAAATACATATTAAATGAATTAATGATTAAAGTATCTCATTCAAAATATAAACATTCAATAATGTTAATTTGATGTTTATTCTTTCAGATACAGATGAATATAGACCTCCTGTTTGGAAATCTTACTGTAAGTACACAAATAATTTTAAATTGCGGGTGTTGTAGTACTTTATAAGTAATATAAAAATATTAGAATCATTAGATATGAAGAGTCATTCAATTTTGTACCCATTATTGAAAAATTAATTCACATCAGGATTTGGGAATAGCATAGAAGTAATTGAGGGGTGTTTCACAAAGTCTGTGTATGGTTTGCATGTCTGGAATACATTCCATCCCTGAGCTTGCACGGAATTCCATACCGTGGAACCTGAGACACATTGTTGACAATGGCTGATAAAACTAATGCAGTGAGAAGCTAATTGAGAATTCAAGCTATCTAACTATTCTCAGATCCTGATTCTTTATATGAAAACATAATATATCAGTGATAATAAGTCAGAAGACTATCTTGATAGAAAGAATAGGTAAAAGGAGGCAAAAGAAAGTAGTCTTTTTTAGAAATTGCGTTCCCAAATATAAGAGAGACACTGGAATTCTATATTGCTCTTTAAACTTTGCATTAGAATAAAAATTTCTTCAAAAGAGTCTAGGTTCTTAGTTCTTTATGTTTTCTAGAGAATATTACCGTATTTTGCCATGTATAATGCGCACCCACATTTTTGGCCCAAACTTTCAGGGAAAATATCTTTTGTTTTATAGTAATTCAAATTTTTATTTGTTTACATTTAAGTACTTGTTTTTTGTATTATAAAGAAATTTTAGCATTTATTTTTTAGCATATTATGGTACAAGAAATTTTATTTAACAAATAATTATAAAACACAAGAACAGATTCAAGGTACAAGAAATTTTATGTACTGGTGACAAAATTATGATATTTACTCATTATGAAAGGCCAAGAACTCTTCGTTGTTGCAAGTTTGTTGTAAGTTTAACGAAACCAATTATTGTATTCCAGGGTATTATTTTGCATACGGATATTGTTATTGATTTTTAGAGTTACACTTTTAACTCATAAGCATAAATAAAAGAATTAAAAACATTTATATAGATATGGAATTAGTACTACCTATGTGTAATGCGCATCCTTATTTTTCCCCTCACAAATTTGGGCAAAAAAGTAAGCATTATACACAGCAAAATATGGTATTTCATCAAGTGAAAAATATTTCAGATTTTTAAAAAGTGCAAACAGGGTTAATATAATCAAAGTAGTTAAAAAAATGCATGAATACACTATTGTAGAAATCAGTACTGCTTTTGTTTATTGTCTGTAGAATTGAATAAGCATCTAAGAAACTTGTACTTTACATATGGATTATTAACATCTTACAAATGTTGAGTTATTCTAAATTTTGATATTTGTAAGTTTTGAAACTTGCTGACTGAAGGAGCAGCAATTCAGATTCTTGTTAGTTTTACGTTCCCAGACAACAAAGAGTTTTATTTTAATAGGTTGCTACTTTGGGCTATCTATAGTAAGCAAAATAGGAACAATTTCTAAAAATATCGCCATAGATGCATTTTCTACCACTCCCATTGCTGCCTTTTTGTTTCTGGGGAGTATAGTTCAAAGAATGTATAAAAATGACTAATGTTCTTTACCTCCTAAAGATTTTGTCTCATAATCTCATTGGCAGGAAGCCTATTTAAAATTCCTTTCTGCATTTTCTGGTTTTCAATTTAACTTTGTTCCCTTTGCTCTGACTCGTGCCTTGCACATTTTTTATGTCAGAGCATTTATGAAGCCTCAGATGGTTATTGAATCATGGTGATGATTTTTCCCTCTGAAGAATATTGATTACTAAATGTAGTACATGCAATTTGTATTTTCTGTATCTTCATATGTCTTACTGTAGCTACCATTTGCCTTTAAAAATGGCATATTTCTATTTTTGGTGAGAATACTGCAACTGAGTTTTATAGTTTCTTTTACTGACTTCAGTACCTGAGATTCCTTCCCCCGCCATCATTTTAATAGTAGAAACAGTGAGGAAATTATTAGAATAAACTTTATCTTCTGACCATCAAATGAAAAAACTTCCACTTCAAGGGAATTTTATGATTAAACCCCTAAAGGCAAGTGAAAAGGCCCGTTTTTAAAACTGATCATTTGAATTTTTCTGATACGATAATCATGATATTGTCTTCTAAGAATTTAAATATGTGCAAATTTTAAGTAATAAGTAAACATGTAAAGATTACATTTGAACATTGAAGTAATTGTTATGATCATATAGATTTTTAAATGTGTTTGTCAAAGTTCTGATCCTAGAAAAAAATTGTGATTTAGGTTAAGTTTTTTAATTTCTTTTTTTTGTTGTTTGTTTTGTCTTTGCCACTATCAGACAATTTTATAGTTTATATTCAGCTAACTGTAAATAACCTGCAGTGAGGTATTTGCTTAATAGTTCCTTAAGAAGTTACCTGTCCAGGCATCTGTGCATTTTAAAAGGAAATATTTTGGGCCGGCCGAGTGGCGCGATGGTTAAGAACTCGCTTGGGATGCCAGAGGGCCCCGGTTCGGATCCCACATATGAGGGCCAGTGACACTGCCCTCCACAGCTGAGATGCTGAACAGCAGCTCAACCTGGAGCTGGGCTGCCATGGGTCGCCGGCGACGGCGTGGGCTGCAGTCCCTGTGGCAGTGGGTTGCCGTGGGCTACCGTGTGTGGCCAGCAGCCAGCGTGAGCGGCCAGCAGCCGCAGTGAGCGGCCGTCCAGAAGCCGGCGACTGATCTGCCTCGCCAGAGAAGAGCGCAATGATGGTGCCAACTTGGGCCAGTGAAGCAACATCCTCCACAACTAGATTGAAGAACAAAACGACAGCAACTTGTCTGTTACCCTTCCCCAACCCCCCAGCACTGTTCCCATCCCCCCAATTCCCCAATAAAAATTAAAAAAAATAAAAAAAATAAAAAAAAATAAAAGGAAATATTTTATTTCATTTATTTATTTTTTAAAGATTTTTATTGGGGAATTGGGGGAAGGGGAACAGACAAGTTGCTATCGTTTTGTTCTTCAGTCTAGTTGTGGAGGACGTTGCTTCACTGGCCCAATTTGGCACCATCATTGCGCTCTTCCTGGGCAAGGCAGATCAGTCGCTGGCTTCTAGACGACCGCTCACAGTGGCTGCTGGCCACTCATGCTGGCTGCTGGCAGGGGCTGCAGCCTATGCCGTCGCCGGCGACTCATGGCAGCCCAGCTCCAGATTGAGCTGTTGTTCAGTATCTTAGCTGTAGAGGCAGTGTCACTGGCCCTCATATGTGGGATCTGAACCCGGGCCCTCTGGCATCCCAAGCCAACTCTTAACCAAGGCGCCACTCGGCCAGCCCTAAAAGGAAATATTTTAAAGACTGCCAAGCGCATGACACCCTATTTCATTGATAGAGACTAGAATAAGTAACTGGGACAGTAAGCCCTACCCAGTGCCCTTAATAATTGAGCCATGACAGTTTATTTAATTCTGAGGCCAGACCATATATATATATATATATATATATATATATATATATATATATATATATCTTGTTTGAAGTTGGTAATTGACAATAAATTCTACCACAGTCTTTGGGACTGACAAACTATAATGCAGTCATCATTTTCTCTGTGATGTGAATTAAATTTTTGTCATTAAAAAGTTTCTCAAAAATAAAATCTAAATGGATTGAGATTTTTAAAAAGTGAGGTATGTCAGTTCATGTAAGGCAGTAAAGGCAGAGTGAAAGCTATTCAAAATGTTCTGATTGTTAACATCTATTCTGTATTACATCTATAAAACTAAAGGGGACAATTAAATTTTAATGTCAAAAGTTGCAATATATTAGAAATTTTTTTCTGCCTTCAGCATGGGGCATCTGAATAGCTCTGCACAGTGAGATTTCTATAAGAAACTAATTTTCATTATGATTCTATAAGAAACTTATTTATCCATGCCTCTGTTCTGCTTTCCAGTTTTAGTTCTGTTAAGCTTGTAAAAACTAAATTTTAAAACCTTGTAAATACAAACCAATGGGAAAATAGAATTAGCAAGAAGTGTAAGTTGAGGATTTTCTTTAAACAAATACAATTTTGTTGCTTTTCGATACATATGCTTGAATTAAACCAGGGACGTAATAACATGTAATAGATGAAGCAAGCAAGCCAGGTGAGGACTGGGGGGAAATTAGAGCATGGATGCCCAGTCTGTAGGGACTAGCTCATAATTAGCTCCCCTTTATTGTGGTCATTCATTTAAAACTCTGGGTCCGATATTGTCCCATCTTCTGATTTTTCAGGGGAAACTGGAATTCTCTTTTGCTTTTCTTATTGGTGTTAAATCTCTTAATCTTAAATGTTAAAAAGAAATTTAAATTTAGATAACAGCAAACCAAACACATGTGAGCTGGTTTTGACTTCAAGAGACCAACCTGTGATCTCTGAACTTGATTAAAAATGTGTTGTCGCTAGGCATTGAGAAATTCATTAAGTATATAAGCATTGACGCTTCTGAGGTGATTGAAAAATGTTAAGTACTTTAATCATATATTCTCACTTAATAATTTAGCTGTTAATTTTTGGTGAGTCATTTAATAATTGCAATATAAATTTCAGCTGAGTTCCAGTTTAAATTACCAAAAATTCTAAATTGAGAAGGCCTGACTTAATTAAATTAGTCTTTATTACTATGTATAGTCTTTAAATGGTCCTTTTGATAAGTGTTCCCTGAATTCATGTTATATTCAGTTATACAATGTCCAAATAAATAACATTTATTTAAAATTAGTTTTAAAGACAGTCTAACCATGGTCTAAAAAATACTCCTCTCCATGAACAGAACTATACCCTTTGAAACTAATAAAAACAAAGGCTAAAATTCTCATGTGACAGTATTGTCACTCCTTTTTTCATACTGGCTTATCTTAATGTATGCCTACTGAATAGGTAAATATTCCTGATGATAAGCAGATAGTACAGTGTTTGTGCTTTGAATGAAAAGCAACATTTTACTTTCTCTAGTGACTTCTAATGTCCTTTTTGACTAGCATTCAATTCTCATAATTGACTTTCCATAGGTGGCAGTACTTTCCAAAGCATTTTCTTGACAAAGGAAAACAATTGATCTTTTGAGAATAACTGATCAAAACAGAAATGTGAATTGAATTTTCACATCTTAGAATTATAGCTACCAATATGGAACAATGGGCATGAAAAATCCTCCTTTTTTGCAAATCATGTTTTGGCTTCTCTTAGGATGATGGAGATTTACAAATACCTCTAAGTGATAAACATATACTCTAACTATCAGGGCCAGACAAATTTAGTTTTAGTGCTCCTTTTTTTCCCTTCCCTACATTAGAATTACTCCCTTCATATCATCTCTTTAATCCATAAAAATAAATTCACAAAAATATTTTTAAAAAACTCAAAACAATAAACTATGGTTATCTAAAACTCTTTTAACGTGCTGCCTTTTTTAGGGATTATAGCAACCAGGAGGAAAAGGCAAAGGAATACATTTCTGTCAGTAGAATTTTAAACGTTACTAAATGAGGAAGGGCTTTGTTTAATTTTTTCATTTTTAAACAGTAAAGCTGTAGCTTCTCAGTACCTTTTAAATTATAGCATTACCACGGTATTGTTTTGGTGGTGAACTCAAGATGCATTCTGGTAACCAAATATTATTGTAAAGAAATTTTGTGTTAATATCAGTCACCTACATATAATCATAATTAGTTTTTATTGAGTGTTTACTTTGTGCCAATGACTATTTTAGGCCTTTTGCATATAGTAAGTTATTTAATCCTTTCAGTATTTCATGAGGTAGAAAATGTTTTTATTTTACAAATGAGGGAAACTGAGGCTTAATATGCAGTGTTAGTGGCAGAGCCCCAGTGTGCAAACCCCAGGTGGTCTGGTTCAAGAGCTCACATTCTTAGCTGCAATTCTGTATTGTCTTCACACAGCAAGAGAGAACAGTGGTGTGTGTGTCTATTCTCAGTATATATATTGTATACACATATACACACACATATATAGTCTAATTATATATATGTGTGTGTGTGTGTGTGTGTGTATATATACACATACAGACATATGGTCTAATTGTATATATTTATATATGTTCCTGCTACATGTGAATGAATATGATTAGAAGTGGAGTCTATATAGATATCCAGTTGAAATCTGAGTCGTTTATTATCTTCCAGTCCCAATATCTGGTTAGTTTGATGTTATGTTGACAAATGTGTACGTATTTAAATACAGTATTAACTTCAGTTCAATTACATGCGATTATATATGTAGAAATATAAAACAAATTCCCTCCAAAAGATAAATTTAGACATACATAGACACACTTTCTCTGATAACTGCACATTCTATTCATTTTTCTTCATTTCAAATCAAAAAGCCCGGGAGAGGCTAGAAAGTCATGGTATTGGTATAATTTTCAATGATCCATTTTTAAATACCCTAAAAATTATTCCCTCTTTGGCAAGTTATTTGAGTTCCTGAATTCTTTCTTTTGTTTCATTTGTCGTAGTTGAATAAGTGATGGTAACTTTGGCTCAGAAATTTTGTTTTAAAGGGAAATTACCTTTGAAGATAGATGTTCGCAATATAAATAGGGGAGAAAAACAGCGTATCTGTTAACTTCTAGCCTATAAATTCTAATTTTTGTTTCAAGTTTAACAATAACGTGCTTTAAAAATATAAAACCATTATTGGTTTATATCAGAGACATGCTTTATTTAATGCAGCACCAAAGAATTGGGGAAAATACATGGCCAGGTCATGGAGAACAGAGCCAAGTATCCAGCACTGATATAAAGTCGAAAGACACTTGTGTGGATTATGACTTTTCTCTTTGTGCTTGCTCCCGGACTTTGACTAAATTCAGTTTGGTTTACTTTCTTTGCCTTGTTAATGACAACTAGGACTGTATCACTGTTTTCTAGTGAACATAAAAAGCAGCCAGTTTGTGAAGCCTCATATATTCAGAAGCTCTGCATAAGGGAAACTGACATCTTGTACTTTCTACCTTCTCACAGTGTATCAGCTGCAACAGGAAGCCCCTCATCCTCGGAGAATTACCTGTACTAATGAGGTGGGTGTGACGAAACTGTCATCATGAAATGTCTCTCAATCATTGTTTTCCAAACTTTGACCTTCTTCAATGGCTTGGTTATTTGTGCGATTAACCATTTACACTAGTTGGCATCATAAAATTGTAACTTGAATGCATTTTTCTTAACATTCTTCTTACTTGAAATAACTACTACTTGAAATAACTGTTTAATGGACTGTTTGAAACACAGTATAGAATATGACAGCATAGGATATGACAGTATAGTTTGAAGTGATGTTAGTTTTCATTTCAGTTAATTCTTCCATTTTTTGTTTTATTCTTTACTTCTAAAAATAATGCTTGAAAGCATCATTGTAGGATTATTGAAGTAATTTTTCCATTAGAAAGATCTAAATCATGATGTAAAAAATGAGCAAAGACATAGTTCACCAAAAAAGATAGGATATGTGACAGTATATGAAAAGATGGTCAACTTCATGAGTAATAAGAGAAATACAAATTAAAATACACAGCAAGACCATTTTCACCTTTTTAAATGGCAAAAGTTCCAAAGCTGAGAATATGCTTATTTGGTAAGCCTGTGAGGAAACAGACATTCTCATCCATTGTTGATGGGAATGGGAAACGCTGCAATTTTATGGGAATTTTGTAATGCCTAACAAAACTGTATCTGCGTTTATCCTTTGACCTACCAGTGAAAGTTATAGGGATTTACCCTGACGAATTACCTGTACAAGTATGGAAAAACATATGCTCAAAGGTTTTCACTGTAGGACTATTTATAATAGCAGAGTATTAGGAAAGACCTAAATGTCTGTCCATAGGTGACTGATTAAGAAGGATTTCTGTGAGCTGATATGGAATGATTTTAAATGTATATACAGTATAGTAATTATGATCTTTTTAGTAATAAAGAAGAGAAAATCAAGATTATTTTTGCAAAAGAGAAACACAGAAGGGATTAACCCAGAGACTAGTGAAACATTTATCCGTAAGGTGAAGAGCAATGTGAAGGGTATAAGGATGGGAGTGGGACTTCTCTGAGGATATGTTTTTTTTTTTTTTTAAAGATTTTTATTGGGGAATTGGGGGGATGGGAACAGTGCTGGGGAATTGGGGAAAGGGGAACAGACAAGTTGCTGTCGTTTTTGTTCTTCAATCTAGTTGTGGAGGACGTTGCTTCACTGGCCCAAGTTGGCACCATCATTGCGCTCTTCTCTGGCGAGGCAGATCAGTCGCCGGCTTCTGGACGGCCGCTCACTGCGGCTGCTGGCCGCTCACGCTGGCTGCTGGCCACACATGGTAGCCCATGGCAATCCACTGCCACAGGGACTGCAGCCCACGCCGTCGCCAGCGACTCAAGGCAGCCCAGCTCCAGGCTGAGCTGTTGTTCAGCATCTTAGCTGTAGAGGGCAGTGTCACTGGCCCTCATATGTGGGATCCGAACCGGGGCCCTCTGGCATCCCAAGCGAGTTCTTAACCATCGCGCCACTCGGCCGGCCCGAGGATATGTTTTTATATAGTTGTGACTTTTGAACTATGCAAACGTTTCACATATTCAAGCAACAAATTAAAAATGATTTTAAAAAAAAGCAAAACTAAACATAAATAAATGAACCTAACAAATTCATAGCAACCATCAAAAAAATTAAGTAATTTTTAAACATATTATTCTGACTGTTCAAACTTAGAGGGAAATATTCTATGAATAAGATCTTTAACTGTATAATAGATTTGGTTTTGGTAGTGGTACTTGTGTAGACATTCTGAAATTATTTTGTGTGTTGTATGGGATAGAACAATTATATTGGATTTTGGGGGACCATGGATATTAGAGATATAAATATGGAATGAGGGAAAATTGAGAAGAACATTGTGGTATTGTTTGAATTGGAGGTATCAATATGAACTCAGGTTTAAAATTACATATTTTCTATTTTAGTCCCTGTAAAGGGCTTCAAAGCAGATACCCAGTATAAACAAACACATCCATTGCCCAAATTTTGACTTCCAAATACTGTTTCTTACTAAAAGAAGCCAATGTTGCTAAGAGAAATTCCTGATTCCAGAACATGGAGCATAGAGATCCTTTCTGACATTTTGTTATGTCAAAAAGATGTAGGGGCCCACTGAAAGGGTTCCACGGGCAAAATCAGTGACAATTTGACATCAAAAAGAATAATGATAGTAATGAATTATAACACACTGAATGAAAAGAGAATTTGTAAGTCCATAATTATGTTTTAAAAAAACCTACCCCAATACAAAGAGAAAAAAAATAGAGGGGTGGGGGAAATGAAAGTTGTTCTTTACAGTAGAATGGTGGCTAAAAACATAGAAATAATGATGAAATTTGCACTAATAATTGAGTCAGGCAACTATCATCATTGGACATTAAAGCCATTCAGTGAAAGGCAGCATGTGAACAGGATAGTTACATGGTCTCAATATATTAGCCCACCGAGTATTTATTAATTGCGAAGAGAAAAATATATCTTTACTGTGGAGAGATGTGGCATTCACCTTAGCCAGGTGATGAAATGTAGCATTACCTGTAATGGGACAAACTGACATATGTCACCTGAAGTGATGGAATGAGATATGCATAACATCACCTATATAGTATTTCTGCCAAAAATGTTTAACTTAAATCTATTTATGAAGTATGAATCAGACAAACCAAAAATGTGGACATTCTATAAGATAGCTGTCCTGCTAAATATGTCATTTTCATAAAAGAAATAACAGTGGTGGGACCATTCTAAAAGTAAAGGAGATTAAAGAGACATGCCAACCAAATGCAATGCATGCACCCTGATAGGGTCCTGGAGAAATAAATACACAAGTAAATATATATTTTAAGCTATGCATTGGGGTATAATTGGAGAAATTTGGATATGGATAGTATGTTACATAATATGGAATCATAATAACTTTCTTAAATAATATACTCTTAAAAAGAATTGCTTCTCCATTGTTTAAATATGTTGAAATGGATTTTGGTATTGTGACATCTAGTTTAAAAAACATTGAATATCTCTGAAAGTATATAGTCAGTCACAAAGAGAACCAATTTACAAAATTAAGCAGGAATTTCATGAGATTACCTTTTAAATGTCCCATTGCAGGTTAAATACATATAGATGTTGATTTGCAGATATGTATGTATGGAATGAGTACATGGTATTTGATGATTGCATTTCATTGCTGCTATGCCATGATCAAGGAAGATAAAATAATTTTACATGTAGTGAGAATTTTTTTTTAAATTCTGGGAATAGCTCAGTGGGGCAGGAAACAGCAATATGTGAAGCAGAGGAATCCAAGGCCCTGGTGGCCAAGGTAGTCAGGGGGTTGAGTGAGAGGGAGAGGCCCAGTAATAATTCTTAATAATTATTATTTAGAAACCAAGCAAGTACTTATAAGCTTGAAAATAATTCTTAATAATGCTGTTACATGATGCAGTTGTCTCTTATCGTAGAGTAAATTCTGAAGTTAGCACATAAAGGAACAGTCTTGCATAATCAGAATTAGCCTTGAAAGTCCCTTATCACCTATACAGTAATTGTACGTATGTTTGTATATACAACTCTGTCATTGTAGATATGTATAAATATATAATTTATTCAGTGAAATGCAGTATATAAGATAAATATAAAATTACACTAGTGTCATTTTTAATTATGTAAAAAGTATTTTGTTATTTTTATGTCAAGCACCTGGTTGAATTAAAGTGTGTGTGTGTGTGTGTGTGTGTGTAGAAACAGATACAGTTATAAATTACATAGATATATGAGCTAGATCAATAAATGTTGGAGAAAATAAAGGCTTAATCAGAATGTGCTGGAGCTAACCTAAACATTTGTCTTGGATAATGATTGTTTAAGTCTTAGTCTTGTTTAAATGATAAGTGTTGGGTTTGGAAAAACAGAAGTTCTTGGGAGTGATGACACTAAGGATAAAGACATACCGAAGAACCAGTGGATGTTCATCCCTATTAACTGAGGAATTGGTCTGGGGAAATTAAGCACTAAGTAGCTGCTGTGTTTTAAGGGGAAAATGTCAAGAGGATTTAATTACCACTGATACACAGAGAGAAAAAGAAAGGTTATTCAGTAGATAAATAAAAGTTCTTTTAAGTAAAAGTCATTAAATCATCTCTGGTGATAGTTATATTATAGAAATGGATCCAGTGAATTTGTCTTTAAGAACAGTTCCCTACCCCAGTCATAGGAAAGGGGGAGGGGAACTGACCCTGACCGTTTGTATGTGCACATCCAATTTCTTCTGTCCATAGCGTTGCATCACAGATTGCCTGAGGGAGTAAGCCACACCCAAAGGGAACATGAATTTAGTGACTAGCATGTGTGTGACCTCTTGTGGTCTAAGCCCTTACTTCTGGTGGTAAACTCCATGCCCTGCTCTTTCTCAGCTGAATTTCTGTTAGTATTCTTGAGATGAAGATGAGTAGCACTTTATTTTAAAACCTGAATTATTCAACTGTTAAAGCATAAATTATTAGAGGCATAACTCTAAAACACAATATATCTAACAGTAAGGAGTAAAATAATTTGACAGAAAATATAGTTGTAACTAATGGATTTTTCTAAATTCACAAAATTTTGCCAATTGCCATTGTGAATGTTAAAACAAGATTTTTTTTTAATTAAGGGCTATTATTGTGACAACACTTCGAAATTTAAATATAAATAATCCTTTTTAAAGGGAGAATATGTCTAGGTCCACAACTGAGTATTTTAGGCATGCTTTAGAAACCAAGCAAGTACTTAAAAGCTTGAAAATAATTCTTAATAATGCTGTTACATGATGCAGTTGTCTCTTATGGTAGAGTAAATTCTGAAGTTAGCACATAAAGGAACAGTCTTGCATAATCAGAATTAGCCTTGAAAGTCCCTTATCACCTATACAGTAATTGTACGTATGTTTGTATATACAACTCTGTCATTGTAGATATGTATAAATATATAATTTATTCAGTGAAATGCAGTATATAAGATAAATATAAAATTACACTAGTGTCATTTTTAATTATGTAAAAAGTATTTTGTTATTTTTATGTCAAGCACCTGGTTGAATTAAAGTGTGTGTGTGTGTGTGTGTGTGTGTGTGTGTGTAGAAACAGATACAGTTATAAATTACATAGATATATGAGCTAGATCAATAAATAATATTTAAATACAGATATCAGAGAAGTTCTGTATCTTTAGTGGATTCATACCAACATGATATAAATGAAACCAGTTTGATATTTGACCATCCCTAAACATGGAGCCTTAAAATGGGAACATAGAACTTTTAAACGCATAAAACCAAGTCACTACTTTCTGTTCTGCATTTTTGAAGTTGGTGTTGCAGGGAGCTGGATAGCATTATTGAGCACAGCTCCTCATTATTGTTATGATTGCAGTTGTATTTTTCTAGGCTAGATGGGTAAAGCTTTAGGCTTAGAAAGCCCATTCTGGCTGCAGTGAGGAAGATGGACCAGGGAAGAGGATGGACATTTTAGAGACAAAAGACTCGTTTAGGAGGCTTTTTCAATCATCCTAGTTAAAAGTGATAAAGGTGTCCAATAAGACAGTGGTTCTGGGAATAGCCAGACGGGGCAGGAAACAGGAATACGTGTATGGAATCCAAGGCCCTGGTGACTAGGTGGTCAGGGGGTTGAGTGAGAGGGAGAGGTCCAGTAGATGTTGGGGAACCAGTTAACTTTCCTCTCATGATCTTCTCTCATGTACATGCTTGGCAAAACCACAACCCTGTTTAAATCTCTCTCTGCCTACTCTGCATATGCTCCCCAGAAAAAGAATGTGGTTGGATAAAAACAAAGTGCTGACCAGTCTCCACATTAAATTTATGAACCTCAAGTCAGCACTTAGTGCTCCTTGGTAGTCATACTGTGCTTCCCGAATCCATTTCACTCTTCTTTGCCCTCACATCTCTAAGACCTTACCTCTCCTCTCATAATCTCGTATCCTACTTTACTACTGATTGAAGCAATCGGAAGAGAACTCCCACAAACTTCCACCACCCCATCTTCTTACCCCTCAACATTTGGGTCTGCTCGATCTGCATTCTTGCCTGTTATCAGAGATGACAGCGGGCTCTCAGCGATTCTAGATTTCCTCTCATCTACTCAAGAACATAATCCTAGCCAGCTCCCTTCCCCCTTCATCAACAGTTTTTCTCTTCTACAAGGTCATTTTCATCAGCCCACAAACATCCTATTATTTCTTCCATCTTAAAAGATTCTCTTGATACTACTTTCCCCATTTCCCCTGCCCACAATCTTAGCTCCCCTTTATAGAAAATACTTGAAAGAGTACAGAAAGTTGTCTCTACTTGTTATCTTCAACCCTGCCCCTCCCATTTTCTCTTAAACCCACTCCAATCAGGCTTTAACCCACTACCATTTCTCCAGAACTGCGTGGACAAGGTCATTAGAGATCAGTTCTCTTGCCAGTCTCAGCAGCAGCACTTGACATAGATGATGATGCTCTCCTCCTTGGTACGCTTTCCTCACTTCCTTTCCAGGATATTGCAGTCTTTTGGTTTTTCTTCTGCCTCCACAGTGTCCTTTGCTGTTTCCTCCCCTCCCTAACCTCTTGATGTTAGAGTGCTCCAGAGCTCAGTCCTTGACTCTCATTTCTTACCTATCTATATTTACTCTTTGATAATCTTACCAGATTCAGAGTTTAATACAACTTATATTTCTGGTTTGGGGGAAAAGCTATGATCTCTTATCAAAATGTTGGTGGACCCCATTCTAATGTGTCTGAGTCTCCAATATTAGATTGCACAAAAGTTAATATTGATTATTATTTAAAGGTGATATTATATATACATAATGCACGAATGCATTCTTTATTAAAAAATTATGTTACAACACCAAAGTCCCTTTTTTGCCTTTCCCATGGCCCCCTAGAGGTAACTATTTGGTTTGATATATTTTTTTCCAGATCTCTATGCTGTAAATATATATTACAGTATTGTATGTGCAAGTGCTTTTCCTAAATGGTGTCATACTATATTATTGTTCCATAATATATGTTAGTATTTAGTAGTTCATCTTGGTGGTTTCTTCATGTTAGTTTCTATAGATATCATCATGCCTTAAAACTGTGTATATTATTTGTACTATAAAGCAATTTAGTTATTCCACTATAGGTATATATTTAAGTTATTTGCATTTTAAAAACGACTACAAACAGTTCTTCACTGAACAGTCTTATCCATGTCTTCATCTGTACATGTGCAGGTATGTTTCTGCAGTAAATACTGAAGCTTTGCACATTTTTAGTTTGAATGGACACTGCAAAATTGTTCTTCTGTCCTCTCAGAACAGAGACATTGATTAAGCTGATTAAGCTTTAAAGAAATTAGACAGTTTCGAGAAAATGCCTCCTCCAGGATAAGTTCCTTCCCAGGTATACAAAAAATATGGATAAAAGGAGTAGTTCCTCACCTAACGTGGGCACCCCAGTTGGGACCCCCTCTCGCTTTGAGAGCTGTTATTTTCTACTCTAATAAACTATCCTCTGCTGTAAACTCTTAAAAAAAATTGTTCTTCTGGATAACATTTTATTATAAAATACTGTTGAACCTTACATTAATTCCTTAAATTAAGACCTAAACATTGAATTTTCATTTCAAAAGCAAAGATTTGCTCTGAAGCAGATTCATGACCCCACTCTACCCACTCTAATAAGCTCTGGGCCTAAAAATAGAATAGCCATCACCTGTAGCTGTAGGGACCAACTGGCATATTTTTAGTACACTGTGTTTTATGAGCAGGGAAAATATGGAACAAGACCAAATCAAGTGGAATTTACCTTGAGAAGACAATGAATAGCCTGACTACAACCTCAGTAGACAGTAAAAGATTCCTGAAGGGTCAAGTATTATTTAAATATAACTTTCAGGGAAAGGTAAAACCATGTCTTTCCTACATATATGAAGATAAATATCTGTTAAAAAAATTATTTACTCATATGATATGAGGAAAACAGGCAGATGTTATAATCAGTTCAAAAGAAAAGTGAAAATAGCACAAATTTATATGAAGTCAAGGAATGTTAAGATGAATTGCAAATAGAGCCGAAACTTGTTTTTTCACTAGGAAGGGAAGGGAAGAAGTCAATTAAACCACTATCACACAGGCAAAAGTTAGCTCCAAATAGCTCCAAGACAAAGGACTGGGTGAGATAAGCCAGTAGTGTATGCTATAGATGATACAGTTTTTCATTGAAACACAATTTTTTTTCTACACTATTAATACATATCTCAAGTTTGCTGAAAGCAGTATCAGACCTTGATGACCAGTGGATAGGTAATCTAGACTTGGCAGCCAGGCTCTTTATAGAGGCCAAGGTAGATAATTACTGAAAAGATATGCCTTGAGTTGCTTTGGAAACTGCTGTATGTAGCCTAATTCAGAAGAGTCAGTGTCAGTTGCTATTTCTGAAGAAGAATCCAGTTTTACTTTGGACGCGACCCCTTTGTAACCTTGAACAAGTTATCCAACCTCTGACAGGGTTCTTGAGAAGGATAATACTGTCTAATGAGGATGAAATAGAATTAATTCATATCTCATTGTGAGGATTAAATGGTTTTCATATGTAATTCAAACACAACACATAGGGACAGCCAGTTAGCTCAGTTGGTTAGAGCACAGTGCTAACATCACTAAGGTTGCCGGTCCCCACATGGGCCGCTGAGCTGTGCCCTCCACAACTATTTAGAATGATACAACTACTCGACTTGGAGCTGATGGGTCCTGGAAAAACACACTGTTCCCCAATAAAAACAAACAAACAAACAAACAAACAAACAAACAAACAAGAACCAAAAAAACCAGCACACAGCATGAACTAAATAAATGTAGTCCATGGTGTCACCCAGATACCTCCTAGGAAAAGCTTATTCCATTTTTATGATATTCTAGCTGGGCCTGGCTTTCTTGTCATTCAGGACCCAGTTTAATTTTCCTCATCTCGGAGAGGCCTGTCCTGATCACCCATCTTAAATACCTCATTAGCCTTCTCTTTTACATTACCCATTCTTATTTTCATTATAGTACTTATCACTACTTCGTTTTCTTGTTTTCTTCTTATTTCTTTAAACTTGATTGTCTCTCATCATTAGAATATAAGTTTCAAACGAGTAATGACAGTTGCCATATGTCAGTGATGTTTCTCCCTCCAGGACAATGCGTATCACATTCGGTAAATGTTTCATAAATGAACAGGACAGATACTTTTTTTTCAGTCTATCCCAGTCAAAATCCCTTAGAATCTTTTCTCCTGGGCCTTTCTTTAGCTACAGGGCCAGCACACCTGCCGGGAAAAGCTAGGGGAGATTAACTGTGGTGAGGGAAGAGCTGATGGGAGAACAAAAGGGCATGATGATATTGAGATGTTAACAGAGGGGGGAACATGGAGTAGCAGGAAGGGAGAGGACGGGAGAGAAAGCCGCAATCTGTGCTGACACAATTGTTGCATTAAGTTTTTGGAGGTTTTATTTTACTTTTTGCATAAAGTGGTATAAATATTTTTTTCAGATTCATAAAATCCTAGAAATAAAAGATGATTTAGTTCAACTCTTTTTACATACACAGTGTTTTATAGATAAGAAATAGGTCTGAGAAAATGAAGTGACCAGTCCCAATGGCACAGTTAATCTGCTGATAGAACTGGAACTCCAAACTCTGATTTTTCTTTTTTTAATATACGTATGCGTTAGTTTGTCACATATGCAGAATGTTGAATTATATTCTGAATATTTGCATTTCACGAATATCTTTGTTTTCTTTCCCAATAGGTAGAAAACAGACCAAAGTATTATGGAAGAGAGTAAGTATGGATTATCAAAAAACATTTTATGGTTTGGAATATGTAAGAGAGACAGGTAAATGGGTGCTTTTAGTAAAAATAAAATCAAGATGAAGGAGGTACTCAAGTTTGGATGAGCTAAAATATTTTTCTTATTACAAATGCAATTATTCTAAAAGGTGAAAACACAAAAAATAAAGACAAGTATAGAGAAGAAAATACCATGGGAAAATGTATGCAATAATTTAAAAATAAAGATGCAAGCCAAGAGAGCGCTTCTGGTTTCTATTTTTTTTTTTTTTTTTGCTGAGCCATCCTGCCACTTGTTGACAGCTCAGCGGCAGTTCAGCTTGGGCCAGGAATCAAACCGGCAACCATGTTGCTCAGAGCTCGCACTCTTAAGTGAGATCTTAACCAACTGAGCCACTCGGCCGGCCCTACTTCTGGTTTCTAAAGGGGATGCTGCCAGATTCATGACTCTCCTAATAAAGTCAATTAGATCTTCAAAAAAAATAAATAAAGATGCAAGCCATACAGTAAATAAATGCTCCTAGATGTATATGAGGAAAAAAATATATATACCTGTATATACACACACACATATGCATTTGTGTGTATATGTATGTGTTAAGCATATAGATATATATACTCACATATGTACATACAGTTGGGGTATAGGTGGTTTATTCTATATTTATACGTTATAAATTTTCTATAAGTAAATTCAGGCTACCCAGAAATAACTAATGTTAACAGTCTGAACTATTTCTAAATATTTATTTTTCTAATGATTTTTACACAGTGGAGATATTATACATATAATTTTTGTAGCCTGATTTTTCCATTTAATATTAATAATGGGCATTTTTCTATTTTATGAAAAATGTTATAATTTTTAAAGTCCTTAATTTTTCTGATTATTAAAAAAAACCTAGAAATATAGTCCTTTGGGAAATAAAAATCACCTATAATCCTATTATTCCCCAAATAAAATTGTTTGTTTTTCATGATTTAAGATCATATCAGCTGAACAATAATGTATATAGCAAATATTTTTAAATTATTTAAAGTTCTGTTTAAGTTTCCAAGATCTTGTAAATAGAGCATAGGTGCTGGGAGTTGGGCGGAGCCATTGGTGTTCTTGATGGTTATATCATAATAGTCATTTCTCTGCTTTTAGCATTTAGGCTGTGTTTAAACTATGCAGTTATGGGCCACATAATGACGTTTCGGTCATGATGGGATTGCATATACAGTAATGGTATGCCATACCGCCTAGGTGTGTAGTGGGCTGTCCCATCTAGGTTTGTGTAAGTGTACTCTATAGTGTTTGCACAATAATGAAGTCACATAACACTCATTTTTCAATATGTATCCCGGTTTTTAAGTGACACATGAAGAAACATCTTAGTGCCTTAAACTTTTTCTGGGGTGGAAATTTTAAGTCAATTGGTATGAATAGTTTTAAGGTTTTTAAAATATCATTGTCAACTTTTGTTACAAAATTTGCTTTCTTCAATGGCATTTTCCTTTAAATTGAGTTTTTTAACCAGGTAGATATTAAATTTTACTACCTTTATTAATTGATGTCAAGTAAACTAAATATATCAAAAACTTAAAGTAATACTAATCTAATAGTATATATTATTACCGATAGGTTACTATCTTCTTGCTCCAGCAGAGTCAGAGTGGAACTGGTTCTGAAAGATTGAGGAATTTATAATGATTAGAAATCCCAGGAGCCCACTGTTAAACCTAACTATTCTAATTGTCATGATTTGAACATGTCTACCATGAACTGTTTTAAGATGTAAATTGAGAAAGACTGACCATTCCCATGAGGAAAAACTCCAAAAGTTGACACTTGTACCCTCCTAAATTATTAAAGTGTTGTTTCAGGGCCTTTTAAATATATTATTCCAATTTCAAGTGACTGTTGGTTTTTTCCTACCAGTAAAAGCTGCAACCAAAGCTTCATTAGAGCATTCGCTCCATTCAGTTATTTTGGAGTTACTAAAAGGACATAGTGTATAAGTATGTGTGTAAATTCTTTGTACATTGTAAATCCCCATACAAATGTAAGGCGGTTTTATATTTTTAATATTAATCATCAATCACCACTGACATTTTTCTTTTTCAGTGTTTTATGTCTGAATGTTATAGATGAATCTACTGTTTGTGTAGAGAGTGTGTTATTTATGTTTATTCTTTTTCCTCTTTTCTCTGTTAATCAAAAATAGGGTTTTGGCAGGGAGTGAAAGCAAGTATTCCAGTTCTTTGCTTTTGGCTTGATTATCCAGTGATGCAGATTATGCACATTATTGGGCAATCATGCCAATTAAGGGCAACCCAGGGTCCTGGAAAATTGCCAACCTAGACTCTGAGCCAAAATTTTGGAGCAATGCTATTAGTATGAGGAAAGGAAATGGGACACATTTCTGTATATTTTTTAGCATGTCCATATGGTCAGACAGCTACATAAGAAGGGCATTGTCCTCTCAAGAGAGGTGGTTGGTCTTCCCTCAGATGGATGTGAATTTTAATTTTATAATTGTTAAATGGATTGGATAGCTAGTTTGATGCTGTTCTTATCACCACAGAGAAGCTGGTCAGGGGCCAAGCCCAGAGAAATGCAAGCATAAACCCAACTGCTCCCCTTTTATTATATGGCAGTACTTTGTCTAGAAAACAACAGAACTTAAAGGTGGGGATTTTGTTTTATCTTGTTTAATTGAAAAAGGTGAAAGGCATGTGGTTTCTGAATTGACTTTGTTTCTTAGGTTTCACGGCATGATCTCCCGAGAAGCAGCAGATCAGCTCTTGAGTGTGGCTGAGGGGAGCTACCTAATTCGGGAGAGCCAGCGTCAGCCAGGAACCTACACTTTGGCTTTAAGGTTGGTCTTGGACCTGTAATTATAACTATGTTTCATTTAAAACCCTCTTAATAGAGGGCTTTAAATTTTAAAAGCATCCAGCATATAATTGAATTGGTTCTTGTTTTCTTGGGGCCTAATTACCATTTTAATAGCTTTGAGACCCTTAAAAAATTCCTCATGAATGGTAGCACTCAGTAATTAAGACTTGAAAAACTTGTAAAGCATTTTATTGTAGCTGCTTGCTTCTATTTCATCTTACCATTCTCTTCCATCAGCCCTGCTGTGTCAGTTCCCACCTATTTCTTGAGTAAGAAAAGGAACTAAGAGAAAAGATCTTTGTAACTCATAAAATTAAAACCACTGTCATTTCTCTTAAGCCCGCTTTTGGTTGAAGCAGCTTTGCTTGGGAGCCCTTGGCTCTTTCCTGTTCTTTGGGTTTATCTCACTCCAGGCCTCTAACTTCGTTTAATCTTCACAACTCTAGGACCTATGTATTGTTGCTTTCTACTTTACAGATAAGGAAACAGAGGACCTAGAGGTTGAGTGACTTGGCCAAGGTCATACATTTCATAATTTGTGTAGCTGGTATTTGAACCTAGATAATCTGGCTTCAGAGCCTGCGTTCTTTATTTTTTTGGAGGGATTTGCCATTTTACTGATTTATTTTTTTATTTTGCAGTTATAGTTGACATTCAGTATTATTTTATATTAGATTCAGGTGTACAGCATAGTGGTTAGACAATTATATAATTTATGAAGTGATCCCCCTAATTAGTCTAGTACCCACCTGGCACTATACATAGTAATTATAATATTACTGACTATATTCCCTATGCTGTACTATACATCCTTGTGACTATTTTGTAACTACCAATTTGTACTTCTTAATCCTTTCACCTTTTTTACCCAGTTCCCCACCTCCCCTCCCATAGCTATCAGTTTGTTCTCTATATCGATGAGTCTGTTTCTGGTTTTGTTTTGTTTTGATTTTTTCGTTTATTTTGTTCTTTAGATTCCATATATAAGTGAGATCATATAGTATTTCTCTCTATGTGTAACTTATTTCACTTAGCAGAATACCCTCTAAGTCCATCTTATAGTAAGTAAGATGGTAAGTAAGTAAGATTCCATCTTTTAAAATATTTTTATTAAAATATAGCTAACATACAATATTCTATTAGTTTCAGGTATTCACAATAGTTATTCAACACTTACATACCAAAAGAAGTGATCACCATGATAATTCCAACCATTTGACACTGTACCACGTCACAATATTATTAACTATATTCTCTATGCTGTACATTATATCCCTATGATTTACTTGATTTATACCTGGAAATTTGAACTTATTATTCCTCTTCACCGTTTATCCCCCTTTTTTAATTTTTTAATTACAGTTGACATTCAATATTATATTAATTTCAGGTATACTGCATAGTGGTTAGACATTTATGTAATTTAAGAAGTGACCCCCCCTGAGCTGTCTAGTACCCACCGGGCACTGTACATAGTTATTACCATTGACTATATTCCCTGTGCTTTACTTTACATCCCCATGACTATTGTGTAACTAACTACCAATTTGTACTTCTTAATCCTTTCCCCTTTTTACCCAACCCCCGAAATCCCTCCCATGTGGCAACCATCAAAATGTTCTCTGTATCTATGAATTTGTTTTTGTTTTGTTTGTTTTTTATTTTGTTCTTTAGATTCCTCATATAAGTGAAATCACATGGCATCTGTCTTTCTCCTTCTGAAATACTCCACTCAGCACAATACCCTCCAGGTCCATCCGTGCCGCAGCAGATGGCAAGAACCCATTCCCTACCATGGCTGAGAAATATTCCATTGTATATATTATATATACCACCTCCTCTTTATTCATTTTTTTTTTTTTAAAGATTTTTATTGGGGAATTGGGATGGGAACAGCACTGGGGAATCGGGGAAGGGGAACAGACAAGTTGCTGTCGTTTTTTGTTCTTCAGTCTAGTTGTGGAGGACGTTGCTTCACTGGCCCAAGTTGGCACCATCATTGCACTCTTCCCGGGCGAGGCACATCAGTCCCCGGCTTCTGGACGGCCACTCACTGCGGCTGCTGGCCGCTCATGCTGGCTGCTGGCTACACACAGTAGCCCATGGCAACCCACTGCCACAGGGGCTGCAGCCTACGCCGTCGCTGGCGACTCATGGCAGCCCAGCTCCAGGTTGAGCTGTTGTTCAGTATCTTAGCTGTAGAGGGCAGTGTCACTGGCCCTCATATGTGGGATCCGAACCGGGGCCCTCTGGTGTCCCAAGCCAGTTCTTAACCATCACGCCACTCGGCCGGCCTCTTTATTCATTCTTTCATCGACAAACACCCAGGCTGCCTCCACATCTTGGCCATTGTAAACAATTCTACAGTGAACATACAGATGCACATGTCCCTTCAAAGTAGTGTTTTGGGTTTCTTCAGATAAATACCCAGAAGTGGGATTATTGGGTCCTTCTTTGTCTCTTGTTAATAGCCTTTGTTTTAAAGTCTATTTTGTCTGGTATAAGTATTGCTATGCCAGCTTTTTGTTTGTTTGTTTCCATTTTCATGAGATATCTTTTTCCCATCCCTTGACTTTCAATCTTCGTGTGTCTTTCAATCTGAAGTGAGTCTTTTGTAGGCAGCCTATGTAAGTAAGGGTCTTGTTTTCTGTTTTCTTATCCATTCAGCCCTTATATCTTTTGATTGGAGCGTTTACTCCATTTTCATTGAAAATAATTGACAGCTATATAGTTATTGCCATTTTATATTCATATATATATATATATATATATATATTTTTTTTTTTTAAATCTTAAAGAAGTCCTCTAAGATTCCTTGTAGTACTGGTTTGCTGGTGATGAACTCCTTCAGCTTTTTCTTATCTGGGAAGCTCTTTATCTGTACTTAGATTCTAAATAATAGCTTTGCTGGGTAAAGTAATGTTGGTTGTAGGCACTTACTTTTCATAAACACTTTGAGTATTTCCTGCCAATCCCTTCTGGCTTATAAAGTTTCTGTTGCTAAATCTGATTGTCTTATGGGATCTCCCTTGTAGGTAACTAACTGCTTTATTCTTGCTGCTTTTAAGATTTTTTTCTCTGTTTTTAACCTTTGGCATTTTTATTATGATGTGTCTTAGTGTGGGTCTGTTTGGGTTCATCTTGTTTGGGATTCTCTGTGCTTCCTGGGCTTGAATATCCATTTCCTTTGCCAGATTAGAAAACTTTTCTGTCATTATTTCTTCAAATAGGTTTTTATTTGTTGCTCTCTTTCTCTTTTCCTTCTGGTACCCCTTATGATGGGAATGTTGGTACACTTAATATTGTCCCAGAGGCCCCTTATACTGTCCTCATTTTAGGGGACTTTTTCTTTTTGCTGTTCTGATTGGGTGTTTTCTGCTACCTTATCTTCCAAATCACTGATTTGATCCTCTGCTTCACCTAATCTGTTGATTCCCTGTAATGTATTCTTGATTTTATTTATTGTATTCTTTATTTCAGACTGGTTCTTTCTTATGTTCTCCATTTTTATGTTTCCTACCTCTTTGCTGAAGTTCTCCCTGAGATCCTTGAGCATCCTTATAAGCAGTGTTTTGAACTCTCATCTGGTAGATTGCTTGTCTCCATTTTGTTTAGTTCTTTTTCTGGAGCTTTGTTCTATTCTTTTATTTGAGATGTGTTTCTTGGTCTCCCTATTTGGCTGCCTCCCTGCGTTTGTTTCTATGTATTAAGTAGGGCTGCTATGCTTCCTGGTCTTAGTAGAGTGGCCTTATGTAGTAGGTGTCCTGTGGGACCTAGTGGCGCAGTCTCCCTGCTCACTTGAGATGGGTGTTCCAGGTGTGTCCATTGTGTAGGTTGTGTGTGCTCTCCCATTGTAGTTGAGCCTTTTTGCTGTTTGCACATCAGTGCTTGCACATCAGTGGGATGGATTGACCCTTGGACTGATTGGTTGTGAGGACTGGCTGTGACTGCAGTGGAGGAGCTATGGTGCAGGGGCTGACCCTATGGAGCGGGATTTGGTTTAGCAGGGCTCTAGTGCCTGCCCAGTCTGCCTTTTGGGTGTGCCATCCTTGGAGGCAGCTGAGTGATATTCTGGCTCAGTCTGAAGCTGGTCACCAGGCATGCCAGTTCTGGGTTCTCCTGAGAGGGGACCCCCTGCAGACAAAGTTCAGCTGCAGCCTGTGCCCTGCCTGGTGCCAACTTGCATAAACCACAAAGCAATCCACAGTTGGCCTTCGCCTGTATTGGGCTTGATGGTGCCTAAAGAGGCCAAGCTGCGAACCAAGGCCAGCTGCCACTAGTACCAGGCTTCAGGCTGCTCAGCCAGAGGTAGAGATACACTGAAGCCCGATGCTGTTTGTTTTGGTTTTGTGAACCTTTGAGATATTTTAGGAACGTCTGTAGCATGAGCCAAAACAGGCTGTTTGTATGAAAAAGCCACTAGAAATGGATTGGTGCATCTGAAAGTCTAGTGGGGCAGGGTTTCAGGGAATGACCAGGGCCGAGTAAATGAAAGGTGTTAGCCAGGTTGATGGAGACTCAGATACAGTGGCTGCCTGTATCTGTACTCCTGGAGTGGAGAGCGCTCAACGAAGAAACAATGGCTTCCCCCAGCTCCTCCCTCTGGAGGAAAGCTGCCCCCTTCAGCCCTCGCTATGAAGCCAGACAATTGAGTTCCTTCCCCTATGTCTCTGGCACTTTTTGAGCTGCTTCTGTAGCACCGGAGCTCAAAACAAGTGAGTCCGTAAGAGTAAGTCCATGCTCAGTCTCTTTAAGAGGAGTGCCAATGACTACAGTTGCCCTCATCTCACTCAGTCACAATCTCCCCTGGTTTTCCACAACCAGAAGTTATGGGGACTTCTCTCTCTGGCACTGGAACCCTGTGTAGGGGAGATGCTGGGACTCCTCACTTCTCAAGGTAGGGACCTCCACAGCTGAGATATCCCTCCTGGTTTTTAATGGTTACACGCAGTTATGGGACCAGCCTGTTAAGTGTTTCGA